GGTTAAAATTGAAGCAACAGAGATGAGATACCGCTCCGATCAATATTTACCTATCTTTTACTGGTATGAGCTCCCTCAGAGCATTATTGTTGGCGCACGTGAGCAGTAGCCCCTTTGAGCACAGCATTTGCAAAAACCCGGTGCTGTTTGGGTTTAGGTTTGTCATCCAGCGCCCCAAACCCCGGGCTCTGACAGTGTTGTCATGGTAGTATGCTTTATTACCATGCAGGGTGCCACTACATTGGATCGGTCCCCAGAATGGGCAGGGTGTCTTACCTATACTCTAATATGGTTTACTGACAGGCTGTCATGCCTTGGATTAGCTAATGCCTAGGCCTGGCAGACGCTATATGCTTTCCGGTGACGAGACCAAAGAGAACCCGGAAATTCCACTGTGGAAACAATGACGGATTGGCTTTCACGACAACGTCTCAATTACCGGCCCAGGCTTGCGATTAGAGGGGGGAAAAACAAAACCAAAAAACGCTGTGTTTATACGTGGATTGCTGGCCACCTATAATTGACGGTGAACGGCTTGCTGCTCCACACTGCAAAGGTAGGTGGCGATTCTTCCAAGCTCTTCTCAAGGCTCGATCGCATTGAATTCCACCATCCCCATCTCAACCGTGAAATCATCTGTTGCCAAAGCAAGCTTGTCATTGATGAGCTAGGTACTTAGATTAGGCCGGCATTGGTGCAGATTTTATGAAACTACCTATCGACAGTGACCGCAGCGTGCTTTCAAGAGAAGCCACATTCCCCCGCTAAACAGTAGCAGACTAAAATTTCTGCAACTGAAGCTTAACTGGGCCCCGTATGGTCAGAGTCTGGACCTACTAGTTTTTCGACTGGAGACGCGGACGCTGGATCTCAACACCACTTGAATCGAAGCACAAATTCCATCAAGTAAAGGAATTCTCGAGGGTGGATTTGTGTACTGTTTTCCTTCCTGTCCAAAACCTTCCACACTCCACTCCGATCATTTACCCCCCGTCAACGCAAAAGTTAGTGGGCATACAGGGCTCGCTCTCAACCTTTGGTCTCCGGACCGACCCAGTCGCACGTACGTAACCTACACAGTAGGTACACTGCAGTACGGTAGCCATGGATACCAGCGCAAACCGAGGCGGTAGTACTGGGCCTGCCAGACGACGGGCGTCCCGCTCTGGATCGCACTCCCATAAACTTTCATCGGGCAGCGTCTCCAGTATCTCCAGTCGCAAAGGCCGGCACGTCGAGCCAGTAGCCAGCTTCGAGGTACCTGTGGATGCGGACCTGTCCATGCCTCCACCGCCAATGCCATTGCCAGTCAAAAGCCCTCGTTCCTCCTTTCCCCCTACCCGCCGTGAGTCCAACACGTCTGAAAGTGCCTGGAGCGAAGACCATCGTCCCTTCCAGGCAAATCTGCGCAACGTGAGCGGCTCCTCTCCCCTGTTGGCCGATGATTCGGATGACGTTGCCGTCGACGACCATGAAAACACCACCCCGCGACTAGGCCCCACGACTACTGCTCATCATATTATTCGGGATCCCAGCGGCAGCATCGACCGCCTGCCCGAGCCAGCATTGACTACAAGGTCCTCCTTCTCGGACGAGGGCCTCTCTTCTAAACGACTTTCTGTCTCATCCATTTACTCTTTAGCCTCAGCTCGCGGTATTCCCAGTCCTGCATCATCAGAAGGTGGCATCTCTCGTTCAGTATCAGGCGTTATCATGGCATCCAATAAAGGATTGGGTCCTTCTCCAGGCCACTCCGAGTCTGGCCTGTCCAATGTGATAGTCACCACCTCATCAACTTCCTCGCAGGCCCAAGCTAGCACTTCTCATCAGCTGGCACCGCGGGAGACAACTCACCCAAACCCGTTGGACGCAGTCAGGAGAAACCCTACCAAACCAGACCCAAACACCCGACCTCAGGCGCCAACCCGGTCCCGCAGTAGGGCCAAGAGAAGATTCAGTGGAAGCACTGTAACTAGCAGCCATAGTCCCAGTAGTGAACGTGGCATTCAGACCGAGGTCAAGAAGGATAAGTCCGAGGCCAAGTCGGCACCGCTGGGCATCATCGGCGTATGTGCTTTGGAATCCAAGGCGAGGAGCAAGCCCAGCCGCAATATCCTCAATCGACTCAGGGGAAGCGATGAGTTTGAGGTTGTCATGTTTGGTGACAAGACTATTCAAGATGAAGGTTGGTAGTACTCGACTATTCAAGCCAGGAGGAATTTTTTTGAAACTGTACTGACAAAATACAGATGTTGAAAACTGGCCCATTTGCGACTACTTGATTTCCTTCTACTCGGATGGCTTTCCTCTCGAAAAAGCCATCTCATATGTCAAGGCGAGAAAGCCCTTCTGCGTCAACGATGTCCCTATGCAAAAGATTTTATGGGACAGACGTATATGCCTTCGGATTCTGGACATGATAGGTGTCCCCACCCCCAGAAGAGTCGAAGTCAACCGCGATGGCGGCCCTAGCCTCCTAACACCCGAAATCGCCAAATATGTCAAAGACGTTACCGGGCTCACTCTTGATCCCTATGACCCGGAGATGGTCCCTGCTCCGAGAGTAGTTGAAATGCTTGACGATGGAGATATTCTCAGCGTCGACGGTACACTTTTGAAGAAGCCTTTTGTCGAGAAGCCAACCAGTGGCGAGGATCACAACGTTATTATCTATTTTCCAAAGTCACAGGGCGGCGGTGCTCGCAAGCTTTTCAGAAAAATCGGCAACAAGAGCTCGGAATTCGTTGAGGATTTGGTCGTGCCTCGGGCTATCAGTGAACCTGACAGCAGCTACGTTTTTGAACAGTTCATGAGAGTGGAGAATGCCGAGGACGTCAAGGCTTATACCGTCGGGCCCAACTATTGCCACGCCGAAACAAGAAAATCCCCCGTCGTGGACGGAATTGTTAAGCGCAACACGCACGGCAAAGAAATCCGCTATGTCACTCCGCTCAACGACGAGGAAAAGGAGATCGCGAGGAAGATCTCTACCACTTTCGGGCAACGCGTATGCGGCTTCGACTTGCTCAGGGCAGATGGTAAAAGCTATGTGATTGATGTCAATGGTTGGAGCTTTGTCAAAGACAATGATGACTACTACAGTCATTGCGCGAGGATCCTGAGAGAAATCTTCATTCAGGAAAAGCTTCGTCGGGGAGGCTCGACACCTCCGCCATTGCCATCTCCCACAACACTCGATCATCGCGATCCATTGTACAAGGCTGCCATGTTGGCCAAGGATCGAGAACCTCGAGGCGAGGCTTTAGAAACGACCCCTGTCAAGTCACCAGCTGCAGTCAATGCCCCAACATCCACGCCAAGGCCATCTCAACTCGAGGCCACAACTGCAGAAGATGTCGGTATGGTGTCGGCTTCAACATCTGAAGCTGGTCCGTCGGTAGCACCGTCCAAGGTCCAGAGCGGCCTCACGTCTCCACTACCCGCTGTTCAGGCAGACGCTGTGGTAGCCAGCCTTCCGGCAACTGCGCCGCCCACGCTACCTGGAACACCATCAGTGGTGCCAAGTGATGTTTCCGGTCAGACATCGGAGCAACCAACGCCTCCGCCGCCACCACCAAAGCATCAGTGGAAGCTCAAAGGCCTAGTCTCTGTCATACGCCACGCAGACCGGACGCCTAAACAGAAGTTCAAGTTCACGTTTCACACGCAGCCTTTTATCGATCTTCTCAAAGGCCATCAGGAAGAAGTCCTGCTCATAGGCGAAGCTGCACTAGCCAGCGTCATCGAAGCTGTTGACCTGGCTATTAGGCAAGGCGAGGAGGACGCTTCAAAGCTCAAGACTCTTCGAAACGTCTTGATCAAGAAAGGCGGTTGGGCCGGCACAAAAGTTCAGATCAAGCCGATGTTTCGTAAGAAGAAGACGGAAGAAATGACCCCTACTCCTGAAGCCAAGACGGCAGAGAATCAAGAGGCACCAAACGCACCAGACAGCTCTGTCGATGCAGCATCTAACGAGGTAAAGGAGACTGAGCCTCCAAAGGAAGCCGACAGCTCGAATCCAGCCATTGAAGGCCAAAGACGTCCGGCCAAACGCAGTGACTCCATGTCTGGCGTGACAATGTCCAAGTTCACTGCCGCAGAGAACAGCCTGGTGCTTGACAAATTGCAATTGATCGTCAAGTGGGGAGGAGAGCCTACACACTCAGCCCGGCACCAAGCCGTGGAGCTTGCGCAAAACATGAGGAATGATTATCTACTTCTCAACCGCGACGTCTTGGATGAAGTCCATGTCTTTAGTAGCTCAGAGCGAAGAGTAACAACTAGCGCTCAAATCTGGGCCACAACGTTTCTTGATAGAGACGAGCTCCCAGAAGACTACATCACCGTCCGAAAAGACCTTCTGGATGATTCGAACGCCGCAAAGGACGAGATGGATAAGGTGAAGAAGAAGCTAAAGGGTCTTCTTCGTAAGGGTAATACGCGTCCCCCGCAGTTTGCTTGGCCAGACAATTTCATGGAACCATCGGAGGTGCAAGGGCGGGTAGTTCAGCTCATGAAGTTCCACCGTAAGGTCATGCAGCACAACTACGCCAAACTTACAAGTGGTGCAATGAATTCCTTGACGGCGCTGAGCAACTCCAGCGCGGAGAAGCTCAATGGTGAAGGCTCTGGATCGTCGGCCTCGTCGCTTTCGCAAGCCAACACGATAAGCAACATTCAGGCCAGATGGTGTTCGCAGGAGGATCCAGAGTTGTTCCGTGAGCGTTGGGAGAAGTTGTTTATTGAGTTCTGCGATAATGAAAAGGTGGACCCCAGCAAGATCTCGGAACTCTACGACACCATGAAGTTCGACGCCCTCCACAATCGAGCTTTTCTCGAATGGGTCTTTACACCGACCAAGGAGATGCTCCAAGAAGAGTTCAACATTGTGATTGGGCGTGACGGAAAGACTCAGGAGTTCGAGGAGGGCAAGGAGAGTAAGAATCCTGACGACAAATCCGATAAAGGTCAGGCCTCGGGTTCATCTCCAAGTGACAAAACGGATAAGTCTGAGCGCACTGAACGGGGTGAAAAATCCGATATTCAAAAGACTGCCAAAAGGATATTCAGGCGGCGGTCTTGGAGAAATGTTCGGCAACAAGGCGAGGCTGCTCTACCTGAACAGTACTTCAAGCTACAAAAGGGGAGCGGTCCTACCAAAGCAAAGACCGATGCTCGTTTCGAGCCTCTCAGAGAGCTCTATAAGCTGGCCAAGATCCTGTTTGATTTCATTTGCCCTCAAGAATACGGAATATCCGATGCTGAAAAGGTTGGTCTCAATGAGTTGAATCCACCACCGCCAAAAAATACGTTCCATGCTGATTATAAGTTTATAGCTTGAGATTGGACTTTTGACCACGTTGCCCCTACTCAAGGAAATCGTGCAGGATCTCGAGGAGATGCAAGCTTCAGAAGATGCGAAATCATTCTTTTACTTCACAAAAGAATCCCATATCTACACACTGCTGAATTGCATCATGGAAGGCGGCATCAAGACAAAGATCAACCGTGCGACTATACCCGAGCTTGATTACCTATCGCAGATTTGTTTCGAGCTCTACGAGTCAGAAACCAAGCCACCTGCCTCGTCTCCGGACGATCCGTCGACGTTTGCATACAGCATCCGCATCACAATCAGTCCCGGTTGTCATATATACGACCCGCTAGACATCCAGCTCGACAGCAAGCACTGTATTGGTTACGCAGCACGCAGAAGTCTGACTGACCACAACGACTGGAAGACCGTAATTGAGACTCTTCGGACCAAATTCCACCAGTAAGTACCCTTCTTCCAGATAAGTCGCGCATCAATATTGCATTGCTATCTTCTATCACAATGACGATTGGAACTCGCATAATGCTTCAGAAAATCGTGCTAACCGTGCGGCTAACAGGGTGAAACTGCCAAAGACATTCCTCGCAGTCAACCTGTCCGAAGCATTCACATTCCAAGAAAAGGAGCGCCATAACTCCGAGGTCGATGTGTTGGAGATGAAGAACCTTGAGCACACCAAATCACCAAAGGTGGCAGCTGCCACGCCATCCGACGATCAAGTCGACCCTAGCTCGTCTATTGAGCAAAAAGAGGTTCCGGCGGTCCCGGCGGTCCCAGAAGAGACACCGAAATGATTTCCCGCTCAATATCAGAGGTACGAACGGCTGTCGTCATGGAGCTGTCTGAGCGAAGCGTCCTAGATACCGGAACAAGCCCTTTAGACCCACAAGAAGTTTAGATGACGGCCAAGACTGGGCGATAGAGGCAGGTGTAAGTGCCGGCGGTGAGCAAGACTCTCGGCAACAAGCACATAGGATGACACCGGATTCGGCCCTGTTTCAGAATATGAGAATTGCGTGCTCTTTGCATAACTCAGCGTAACTACATCTTTATCGTTGTCGGTCATATTTTCTTGTTTTTCTTTCCTCCTTGCTTCTGCTTTCCATAACTTGTCTAGAGAGCATCCACCAGGAACTGCCAGGGGGTATGTTCACGGTAAAGCGCAGAAAATCTTTAGACAGCATAGATTAGACCAACCAGAATAGCATAGGGTAGCGCGGCATTGAATGTTAATCGTCTGGTTCGCCCCGACCGATAGCCATCCTTGAGCCAGTCTCGGCCCCTGGCAATCGTCCTAGCGCAGGTTCCCATTAGACTGCTTCTATGTGCGGACACTGAATTTAGCCACGCGACGATCGCATATGGACGGAATAGTAGTAGTCGAGTGCCTTCGATACTGCGGATGCTTCAGAACCTGGTAGCAATCAACTCACCGGTAAAGGATGGCATTGACAGAAAGAGTACCAACCGGGGGAGGGAAAACGTGATATCATTGTCGAAATCGAAGCCGTCAAGTTTCGACGTTGCCCATGTCTTCCATCTGCACGTTCGTCGGTTTTTCTCTCTTTC